TCTACCCTGTATACCCTTCATTTTACTATCCTCCATGTGTCTATCCAACGGTCGCTTAAAAGTCTCTAAAGTATCTGACTCCACTACCACCGCCGGCAGCACATTCCACACACCCACCACTCTCTGTGTAAAGAAGCTACCTCTGACATCTCCCCTATACCTTCCTCCAATCACCTTAAAATTATGCTCCCTCGTAATAATCATTTCCGCCCTGGAAAAAATTCTCTGGCAATCCACACTATCTATGCCTCTCACCATCTTGTACACCTCTATCAAGTCACCTCTCATCCTTCTTCGCTCCAATGAGAAAAGCCCTACCTCCCTCAACCTTTCCTCATAAGACCTGCCCTCCAGTCCAGGCAACATCCTGGTAAATCTCCTCTGCACCCTCTCTAAAGCTTCCACATCCTTCCTATAATGAGGTGACCAGAACTGAACACAATATCCAAGTGTGGTCTAACCAGAGTTTTATAGAGCTGCAGCATAACCTCACAGCTCTTAAACTCAAGTCCCCTGTCAATGAAAGCCAACACACCATACGCCTTCTTTACAACCCTATCAACTTGGGTAGCAACTTTGAGGGATCTATGGTCGTGGACCTCAAGATCCCTCCGTTCCTCCACACTGCCAAGAATTCTGCCATTAACCCTGTATTCTGTAGTGAACAAAAACACCTCTCACTCTTTCTACATCATCAGAAATCACACGATGCCAGGTTATAGTCCAACAGGTTTATTTGAAAACACTAGCTTTCAGAGTCTTGTGCTTTCAAATAAACCTGTTGGACTATAACCTGGTGTCATGTGATTTTTGACTTTGTCCACCCCAGGCCAACACCAACACCTCCACATCCTTTCTACATCATCTTGGAATTAGTGTTACTGTGGGCTGTCATGAACACAGATCTCTCTCTCTCTCCACACCATCTGTTAATCATAGGGACACAGAATTCTACTTAATGAAGACTTCTCCCTCTCTCTCCATTATATTGTCCCTGAAACACAGGGACACTGGGCTGCAGTGAACACAGATTATTGAGATTACATGCATACCTAGTCATGTATGCAAGCTTCCATCTGGATGGTAAATATGACAGAAACATGATGGCAAGGTCAGGCAAGCAGCCAACTATAAAACTCTCTGATTTCAAGCTTCCAAAAGGACCTTACCACAGACAATCCTGCAGTCCTGTTACGTTACCATACTCGTTCACTGACATTTCTTGGCCTGTGTTTGAATGTAGTTGTTTCTGCAGTATCAATACAGTATGGAGCTGGAGGGACACAGCAGGTCAGGCAGTACCAGAGGAGCAGCAAAGTAGATGCTTTGGGTCAGGACCTTTTTTCAGAATTGGAGAGGAGGAAGGGAGCTGGGAAATAAATAGAGGGAGGAGGAGGTGAGGCTGGGGAAGGGTGGGGTGGAAGATGGATGGGTTGTATCAGGTCAAGGAGATGAGAGGGAGGATGGGTAAGGGCTGGGGAAGGCTGGTGGGATGATGATAGGTGACTGTAGGTAGGCAGTGGTGAGGTTCGGTCAGTGAGGTGGGAGGGGCAGATAGGTGGGAGAGAAGATCGACAGGTTGTGTCAGGTCAAGGAGGCGGAGATGAGAGGGAGGGTTGGACATGGGATCAGGCCGGGGGGTAGGGAGATTTCACCAGTGGGGTGGATTTCACCAGTTAGGCTATCGGACTGTAGGCTCCCGAAGCGGAATATGAGGTGCTGCTCTTCCATTTTGTGGGTGGTGTCATTGTGGCACTGGAGGAGGCCCAGGGTGGACCTATCACCCAGGGAGTGGGAGTGGGAGTGGGAGTGGGAGTTAAAATGGTTAGCAACCAGAAGACGTTGTCGATTATCGCATACAGAGCACAGATGCTCCACGAATCAGTCCCCAAGTCTATGCTTGGTCACACTAATATAGAGGAGGCCACATCAGGAGCAAGAGATACAGTAGACTGGGTTGGAGCACCAACGTAGAGGGGTGCCAACATTGGGTTCCAGCCCCACTCCCACCCCCACTCACCCTCCCTCTCACCTCCTTGACCTGACACAACCTGTCCATCTTCTCTCCCACCTATCTGCCCCTCCCACCTCACTAACCAATCACCACCACTGCCTCCCTGTACTTACCTATCACCATCCCACCTGCCCTCCCCAGCCCCATCCCTCCTCTCTATTTATTTCTGAGCTCCCTTCACCATCCTATTTCTGAAGAAGGGTCCCGAGATGCTGCCTGGCCTGCTAGGTTCCTGCAGCTCCACGCTGTGTTATCTCTGATTCCAGCATCTGCAGTTCTTACAATCTCAGCTTCTGCAGTATGGTGCTCAGGCCCCTGTGACCCGCAACCTGCCTGCGCTCAGTCCCCGTGACCCGCAACCTGCCTGCGCTCAGTCCCCCCGTG